GGAAAGAGTAAGGGATCTCAACTCCCTGCCTCCCCACCCCCTTTCCTTTTGTGTTATTCTTCTTTAAAGTTTGAAGCTGCAACTTCTGCTTTCCCTGACTCCACGTTTGCTGCTTAACACGGCCCCGAAACAGAAGCGGCAGAAATCAGCCCCTAGGTCGCAGCCGTGGGGAGCTGTCGGACCGTCCACCTATGGCAGCGGTGGGATGCCGAAAAGGGGGTGAAACGCTGTATTTGCGAACCCAGGCTGGGTAGCTTTGGCTTAACTGAACTTTAGGAACAGAAGATTTAAGCTTTTAATCCCCTCCCTGCTGTAGACAGACTTTGTCCGCAAAGTTTAGAGTGGACGTTCGGGGCTTTTTTACAGGCAAATTCATAAAAAAAACAAAACAATAAAACCCTCTCGAACTCCAGCTGAGTCCTAAGACAGACCTCTATAAACGGGATGAGCTTTTGATACGCTCTGGCACGGAAAGGAAACAGAAACACCCTCCGTTTTACTGCCCTTTTTTGTTTTGGTTTGTTTTAATCCCAATAAAGCTTCTGTCCTAGAAAGAACTTTTCCAGCCAGGAAGGCAAAGTCTGCGGCGCTCCGATCGCAGCGTGGTGGGCGCTGTCACAAACCTCCCTCGCCTTCCCAGATGTAGCTAGAAAGCCGGGGACACGCGAATCTTAATGTCATTAACACGCTTCCATTCTCTGGGATGGCGAAGGGAAGACAGTGTAATTTATCAAACCGTGGCGTAGAAAGCGGCGGAGCGCGATGTGCGTGTGCCTGGGAGAGGCGCAATGAAGAGTGATTGCATTAGGACACTCTTTGCGCTGACTGCGATATAATTGTTCTGGTACAGAAGGCAACGCATTAATGATCGGTGAGTTAATAGCGCCGCGCGCAGACATTTCTCGGGTTCAGCAAAAACCGGGTAATTATGCACAAAACCAAAGGGGGGCCGGGAGGCTGCCGCACCCCTGCCGCCCTCCCGCGTCAGCTGGCGTTTGCTTGCGGGGCACGGGCGCAGGAGATGAGCGAGTGTGTCTTTCCGCCGAATTCGCTGGGGGTGCTCTTCTGCTCCGATGGTTGCAGGGGGGTCTATAAATCAAAGAGCAGGTGTTTCGGGTCCCGTCGGTCCCACAGTTTTCTCTGTTAACTGAGTTACTGGAGGCACATGCGTGCCTACAGGCGTGTTTGTTCTCTCTGGCTGTGCAGAGGAAGCAGGCCAAGGCCCCTGGCTCTCAGACGTGCTGGGCTCCTCTTCTCCTATGTGGCATGAAATAAATATGGGCCCGGGCCCAGGGAAGAGCCCCTCTGGCCTCTCCCTTTGCTGCCTGGGCCCTGAGCCTGCAGTGGGAGAGGGGGTGGCCCATCCTTCGAACTGCCCCCATCGCAGTGCGGGTTCTTATCTCCCGTGCCACATGCCCGCTGTACATCCTTCCTCAGACCGAACGTGCTCGTGGTGGAGGAGCTGGAGTAGAGAAGGGGCTAGTGGTTGGGATGTGTGATGGTGTGGAGGGGTGAAGAGCTGTGCTAGGCCTCTTCTGAGTCCAGTATTATTTGGCTACTGCTTCTCCATGCGGCTGTTCCCCAGCCCTTCAGCATGCCAGCACCTCCCCGGTGCAGAGAAGGCATCAGCCAGGATCTGCAAAGCACCGTGAGGCTGGCTGGGCATCGTGGCATGGGGGTCTGGTGTGCGCAACCCTGCCTGCCTGCCCGTCCTCTGTGCTCAGGTGTGTGCGTGGACATGCCTTCATGAGCTCCGTGCAGCCGGTTTGCACATGCAAATACACGTAGATATTTGGAGCCACCAGCCAGCAAATCTCTTCCTGCTTCCTTTTGGTGCGTGATGATATGTGGCTTCTCCCCACCCTCCGCTGGGGCAGATGAAGCTTGCAGAGTCTCCTGCTGGAGTTTTTGTTCTCAGCCCTGCCTCCAGTAGCTTGTCCCCAAACTGGGGCGGTGTGGTGCAGTGGGTAGGGCAGTGGCCTGGGAGACCGGGGTTCAGATGCTGACCTAGGCTGTGCCTGGCGGGGTGGCTTCTCCTGGCTCCGTGTCCCTTGGCGCTCTCGCCCTCAGGTCTTTTTTGAGTGGCGGCTCAGGGCCAGGGTCCAGCTCTTGCTCTGTGCGCGCGTGTTGGGGTCGGGGGTCAGGGGAAGGTTCCCGGTGAGTGCAGCGGGTCACGGACCAGGGTGGCAGCTCCTTGGTGCTGACGTGAGAGTTGCAAGAAATGAAACGCTGCCAGTCTCTGCCTCCGGGATCTTCCTATCCAAAAAGAGCAGACGGGAAGGAAGGGCCTGGGTGAATGCACAGGCTTGGGGAGCGCGTGTTGGCCATTTCCCACTTGTGGGCATTGCAGATGCAGCCTGCTCAGAGGAGGGGTTTGGTTGGGAGGGTCACCTACCCCTTGGCCTTGCTGGCCCTCTCCTGTCAGCACGTTGTGCAGCCAAGGGGTCTTGGGGCTGTGTCCTAGCGTCACGGGGCGGGGTGAGGCCGGGGGGCTTCTGAAGCCCTGCAGGAAGCCTGGCCGAGTCCTAGCTGGGGATCCTGCTCACGGACCTCTTGGATGGTGCTTGCCACTTTGTGCAGGGGTGGAGGTGGAGGGGTGGTGCAGGGTCTCTGTGCTCAGGGGTCAGTGCGGACGGGCAACGAGCCCATCTGGGCCTCTGGCCCTGGGGCGACTTTCTTGCCGTCTCAGAGCATGAAGCTGCAAGGTGCTGAGCACAGATAGGACCCCATGCAGCTGAGGACTCTTCAGGAGCAGAAATGTTCCCAGAACAAATGGCTTGAGCTTATGCAGCAGATTAAACTCCCAGGGGACTTGTCTGCGACCCAGGGTGGAGACAGCAGCCAGGCTTGTTGCCTGCCATGATCCTGCGGTCTCCCAGAGAGTCCGCAAGCATCTGGGGGGAGCTCGGAGACCTGGCGGTCAGACGGTGGAGGGGCTTTCACTGGAAGGCTGCCTCCAGGGAGCCCAAGAACTTCTTCAGACTGGGTCTCGGGACACCTAGGTTCAATTTGTGGTGCTACCAGTGACCCCTGAGGCTGTACAGCGTCTCCTGCATGCCTCTGTTTCCCCATTGTGCACATCGGGACCTTGATCTTTCCCTGAAAGCGCTTGGTGACCTGACTTCCAGCTAGAGACCTGCAAGGTGTTACAAGTCAGCCAGCTCCACAGGTGCCTGACCTCTGCAACCCTGGGCCATGGCCTTTCTGGACCACATGCAGGCAGGCACCTCTGGGTTACCCCTGCTCAGGCCCATTTCACAGGGCAGTATTATTTACAGGCCTCTCTCATGCATCTCAGCCCCTGCAGGTAGCAGTTGGCAGCTCCCTTGCCCTTATACTCCCAGCACTGGGAGTGGAAGAGTGGGGTGGACAGCAGGAGCCTCTTGGTTGGGAAAGTGTGGGTGGGGTACAGAGGGTGTGCATCTCCCCTCTCTAAGGACAGCAAAGTTCAGCCCCGGGCCGAGTGACAGTCCAGCGCTGAGTGCCCAAGCCTCTGTGTTCCTGCGTGCACGGGTGTGTGTGCATGACCATCATCCGTGCATCTTGCGTGTGCACCCCGACTTTTGGCTGTGATGTTCTCCATCAGCAAGAGCGTGATCCCTGCAGGTCCAGTGTTGGGCCGTAGGAGACGGCCAGGATGTCACCGCCACCCTGCCTCTCCCAATTTGGGGGGAATTCTAATGCAGTGCTGAATCAGGAACCGGCCGCGCAAGTCTGAGCTTGTTAAGAGGCAGGAAAGTGGGTCTCGCTTAAGTTAGCATATTGAGATGGAACAACGTATTTGTCACTTGGTAACAGGGCACCTGCGGTCCCCGGGGAGATCTGATGGGACATAACAGTCCATTTGTAACCGGTCACGACACCTTGAAGTTGTTAGCGGGCTCTTCTTAGTTTGTTTTATTGGGTTTTATTTTGCAAATGCCGCACCAGAAGAAGAGCTTTTTCCTGCAAGGAATTATTGCCAGCAGCTGGAGCCTCCTGGGGTGGAAGGGATGGCAGTGCTTTGTTATACAGATAGTTGCTGTGCTTTGGAAGAAGAGCAAGCGGGGTGGGGGAGAAGGGATCTTTCCTTTGGAGAGTAATGAGGCTGGGGAATACACACATCCACAACTGCACATGTTTACACACACCCCGTCTCTCTCTCACGCTCACTCGTAGTTGCACTAAAAATATAACTCTAGCAGGACAAACCCATTCCTAGTCCCCCATGACACAGCACTTGCTTGGCAGCATGAAGCATCCTTCAAGACCCACCTGTCCGTTCTGGTTTCCATTAATGCATGCAGCCCTCATGGAAACTGGGCAAGAGGCTTCCTGCTTCTGTGACTCGGCTCCTGCCAGCGTCCTCGCTTTGGAAGCCCTTGAGAGAGAATCTGATCCCTTGGAAGAGGGCCTGAGCCTCTCTCCTTCATCCTCGCCCATGCGGCTCGTGCCTCTTTTTCCAAGAGGCATCGATGGGGAGGTGTAGCGTGCAGGGGCTCTGGGCAGGGGAGTTTCGGCACCCAGGTGTGACCGTCCACACTAGAGTCTTTCGTAGGGTGCTGAGTCCTGGGCTTGTCCTGGCACCTTACGCACAGCGAGGTCTGCTCGCGCAAGCGCACTCTATCTGCCCCTGCTCTGGGACCTGGCTCTCAGTCAGGCAAGGCACCTCGACTCATGACTTCCTTGGCCTGGGCTCCAGGGAAGAAGATACCCACCCTCCTCCTGTGGCTTTTGTCATCCCTTGTTTGCAAGCTCCTTGGGG